ATTATATTCACCCTCGTGCTAATACTCTTGGGAAGGTATGAATAAATAGATAAATAGCAGGACAGACCTGGTTCTATAGCCTTGGATGGCAACTGGTCTACCGTAGAAAAAAAAGGCAACCTACTGCGGGGAAAAAATCTGCCTTGTCAATCATGTATCAAAAGATACATGATCACTTAAGCATGTATTAAGTATAGCACATAACTGACTGATATTTCTACTAGAAATAGACTATTTATTCATTAGTAATTTACGCAAGCACTAAGTGTTTCACCAATAAAGTAAAAATAAATAAAACAATAATAAAAATGAATTCAGGTGATTTCCCAATCCAATTCAGCATTCATATACATAAATTTGACAGTTCCACTATCAGACATTTACTACGCATCAAATTGGTACAGGAATATCAGATTTTTTTTAAATTCAAAATAAAAATGTTTAAATATTTTGGTCAATAATGGTCAACTGTGATTGGGATCATAGTCATTAAAAATTCTACGATCCTTCATTAGCTGCCAAAATTTCACAATGTTTCACACACACAATATGTGTGTTATCCTATACAAATTGCTAGATGTAACTTAGTACTAGGTTAACAGTTTCTTCTCTCACTTATGGAACTCTTCTGGCTTCTTACTCTACAGTCAACTTTCATCTTCAAAAATTTTAACCCAATGTCAATTTTTTGGTTTTAATTCCTGTTCTATTGTTCTCTCTCCTTAATGTTTTTCTCATTCTTTCACACTCAGTAACCCATTATGTCTTAGTGGCTTAATTGCCTTACTTGGGGTGAAATGGTTAAAAACAAAAAAGAAACAGCAGCAACAAAAGGTGGGTCAATGTCTACAGCTCGTCATTAGCTAAATTTTGACATGAAAATTTTCACTGTATAATATTCAATCTACGTGATTAATATTCACCATTGAATTAAGAAAGAAAAAGAAAGAGATCCTTTTAAAAATTCTTCATATTTAGACTATGAACTTATTGCTGTACCAATGTGCACAAAAGTGTTAATAGTCTTTGATAATAGTCGTAGAAAACCATTTTGATACACAGAAGTAATAGATAAGACAATTTTATTCATATGTAATATACACATGAGGAGGTGTTATTCGAATGTGCTCAGATGAACTTACTTGCCAAAATCTAAACAAACAAAAATATTGGGGCCGGGTCCTTGGTTGAAAAGAACTTTTAAGCAATCCTTTATATAAATACGTGAGTTATAAACTAAAGTAAATCCCCCACCATTATTTCATTGTCATAAAATATTTTAAAATAAAATTTATTTCTAATGATAGTTTTGGCTTCAGTATTTTTGTAAAGGAAAATGGAATAAGCTCCGATCTCAGAGTCTTTCCATCCATTTTCAACACTTTGCCACTTATCATTTCCTATTGGAAATGAGATTTTACCTCCCCATATGTAGGTTGCCACCCATGACTAGGTTCATTTTGCCAACAAGGAATATAAAACAGTTTTTCCACTAATATGCAAGGACAAAGTTTAGGAATAGAAGTGACAGGCACAAGTTCAGTTATGAAAACAAAGAAAGTTGTTAAAATATTTGTAATTTCCAACATTACAATAAAAGCAGAAATAGATCAAGAAGGAAAAAAAATAAAAATCTAATACTCTTTGGAATAAAAATTGAGTAACTACAGTTCACTTTGTCATAAGATATCCTATACAGACAGAACAGGTCATATGTATTAAACAATTTTGTCCTGTGGCCTGTTCTTATTGACATCTCACTAAACATCACAACTCATTTATAAATTAAATTTTAATTGTGGACTGAACTCAAAATTTTATCTTTTTAGAGCAAAAAAATTATGCTGAATTGCCAATGGCTAACAGAACCATTGTTAAATGAAGGATATACATTTAGCTATTTCTGAATTAAACACAGTTTTATGGTTGTTATAAAGCAGGAAAATTACTTCCTCACTTTTAAACAAGGATCTTAGTTATTTAAAAGAATATATATCATATTTTTTCATGCAACAGAATTCTAATGTTAGGAATGAAATCTAAAAAATTGTTGCCCTGTACATGTGTATCTTAAAAAAAAACAAACAAAACAAATGCATAAGAGTAAAGAGAGAAAAAAGAATATATTTTCACGTTTAATATATTATGAGCTTAATTTCGGAAACAAAAAATGTGTTTCAAAATGAAGAGTGAGAGAAAAAAAACTGTTCTGTTAAAGGGAGATAATTCCTAAGAAGGGGTTAATTCATATTTGGCAGGCATCTGAAATCTTTAAACAGACATTATTTTAATTATTACTACACATGACAACTATTTTTGCAAAACTTTTCCAGACAGGTTAGCAACAAAATTTCTGAATTTAATCACAAGGTAATAGCATGTTTATAACCCACCAAACACAGAAAGAATAAACTACTTTAATTTCAACCACATTTTTTTAAAGCTATAGAAATGCTTATTTGTTACAGTGAAGCATCATCAGTTCTACACTAACAAATGA